AAAAATAAAAATAAAAATAGAAATAAAAATAAAATTTAAATTGTCCCGGAATTAAGAGATTCGACCAAAAGATCTGCGTCAAAATCTAATTCCGGTAACATAAGCATGAATGAATTCTAGCAGTATTTATTAAATCATTGCTAACTTTAAGCTTTTCCCTTAATTTTAAGTATGTAAAATCCTCTGCAATTATTGATAAAATTCTTCGCTGACCTTCACTACCTCTTATGTTATTATTCATTGAGTCTTCAAAACATGACCAAAAAGTTTTCACTTGTAAACCTAAGTCCAAATCTTTGTCTGATTCCAATTCTGGCTCTGATTTTGAATTGATTTCAGAAAAAAGCTGCAATGTTTCTAAATCAGCTGCACTATCATCAGCTTTAGACCAATACTCATTGTTTTTGTCAATTTTTATTTTTTTGCATCCAGATGCATTCAATAATTGCCTCCAAGCTCTTATTTTTCTCAAAATTTTTTCATCCAAATTTGTATCATTTTTTTTAATAATTTCAAATTTGTATATATAATAAATTATAAAGTTCAAACAAGTTTGATTGTTTATTATGTAAATAGTTTAAAACTGAAATTGTGAGATCTTTGCTGTTAAAATGTTTCATATATGCTTGATGAAGCTTCTCAAAAATAATTGAATCCCATTGGTGACAATTAGTGTTGGTTTCCAAAACTAGAGAGTTTTGCAACCATGTGAAAGTCAAAAAGTTTCGCCATAAGTCGATTTTTGATTTTTGACTTTTGATTTAGTTTTGACATATAACTTTTAATTTTAGTTTTGACTTTCGTCTCTTCAAAATAGTTTTGGCGACCAACACTAGTGACAATTAACCTCAAAATTTGTTAATGTGTCAATTACTTGTTTTAATTCTAAATTTTCCAATAGGAAGAGTTGACTACCAGAGAACATAGTGAACAATCCAATTGATTTCCATAATTCATTTACATCAGAATCCTGATATTCCTTTAGCTTTTCCCCAGTTTTTGTTGAATAAAGATGAACATGAAACTTCTTCCTATCATAAATTGAGAAAATAAAGCAGGTTCACGCTTATATTTATCTAAAAATGTAACATGGTAACCATCCAATGGATTTATTCCATCATGTGAAACATCAACAACAAACAATTTAAAATTGTTCTCTTGAATATAGAATGGAACAAAAATTATATCTGCAGATATTCTTCCTAGATGGTCCTCGTTACCCATCCCAAAATAATTTAGACCAACTAAATTTGTACTATTAGAACATTTCTTCTTTTCAAGACATTTTTGATAAACATTAGTAACTGCTGTTGTCATATTTTCTGAGTTTTCAAAGATTTCTTCGACATAGCAATGATATTCAGGCTTATTGTTTTCTCCTTTAATGATAGAAGTAAAAAATTCAGTTTCTGTCATAGTATGATGCATTTTTAAATTCAATCTAATAGGATAAAGTTTGTTTATATTTGTAAATTTGTCTTTTTGCTATGCCACCAATATGATGCAAATGTGCCATAATGTATACTGTTTACAATAGTTCCAAGGTTAAGAAAATTTGATTTAGACATTTTAAATTAATAATTTAGATTTTTTTTTTTTATATGAAAAATTTTAATAGATAGGAGAGCAATACTTACACTCCCTGGACAAAAGTATCCAGATACCTGTTTTTACTAATTATACAAAAATGTGCATAATAACTACACATAAAATTTTATCAAAATGCAGCTTAGGTTTTGATAAATATGTATGTAGATTTTGATACTCTCAAAATGTCTAAAAAAATTTTAATTAAAAAAATCCGAAACTCAATGAAAATGATGATGATCAACAAAATATAAATAAAAAAAAATGAAATAAAACTTAATATTAATATTAATATCAAGTTGGCCATTCATCACTAGAAATGCATGTCTCAATCCTTCTAGGCATGTTTTCTATTAATTTGTAGTAAGTTTCATATGGAGTTCGTTGACTACACTTCTTG